GTCATTAAAATTATTTGGTCTAATTTCGATGAAGAAACTGAGCCCAAAATGGTTAGATCTCACTTCCTTTGTCTCGATCTTAAGATAAAATAAGCCCACTCTCCCACACTTCTGAAAAGAACAACCTTGAAAACGTGCATCCGGAGAAAACGTAGTTCTGCCGTTTGATAGACAAAAGCTGGTGAAGTCATAATAAAGGTAATTAATGTTACATCTGTCCTGACTCAACAGCGTTCTCAGCTTCTGGCCTCTTCTCCCAGCTTTCTGTGTCCTAAAAAATATATATATCTGAACAATTCTCTTGCTAAAAACCATATCCATCCTGAATCGGGGAGGATGGCAGAACCCATTATAGAATATTCTGATAATTGTTTCAATACTTTTTTTTTTTTTTTGGTCCGTGCAACTAATAAACAGTATTCTTTGTTTGTGTTTAAGCTGCTTAGTATGTGGCATCTTGACTCGTTTGTACTAAGTAGGTGGGCTAAAGTAAAATGATCAAGATTTTATTGTCAAAGAAGATGTTCTACAAATACATATTCCTGAAGGATCTTATTGGAAAATGCGCACACATGCAGGGAATAACATTTTCCACACTGGCCCATCTTCCTTCCTGCCTCCCAAGTAGTATTCTGTTAAATCCTGGAAAATATGAATGCGAGAAGGAAAACCAAATTGTAGCCCAGTTTGGAATCAGAAGTGTTCTGCAGAATCAAATTAGACTCTTCTTTTGCATTATTAAATGACCCAGTGAAACTTTCCCTGCATGGGACTCACAGATGAGTGAAGCCAAGATTCCTATGTAGATTTTCTTATTCTTAAATTTGAGATTTTACCATGCTAACAAATCTTTAAGAACAACTAGCACATCATTTACAGAGGCACAGCTTACTCTCTAGGGGAAAAAATTGGTACATAGAAAAGTAGACAGAAATATTAGAATCTTCTTTGGAAAAAGAAGAAAGAATTTGCAAACTGCTTTTGGAAAGCAGTTTTCTCTATAATTGGATCATGGTAAAAGAATCGGCTTTGAGAATTGGGCAAAATATTATTTGCCATTTTGTTTCTTTTTCATGCACCGAATCACAATATGAATTGTGTTTTCAGAAGTCAATTTGATCTGTAGCAATTTCAGCCATCCCAAGAGCACTCTTAAGGCTGCATATAAAAGAACACAGGAAATCCCTATATGAGCTCTAAGGCGTAAACACCATTTTTTGGAAATAAAAACATGGCATTCTTATCATCTTAAATATAAGTGTTAAAGTTACCAATTCTTTTCTTTTTTTGAAACAGAGTCTCACTCTGTCGCCCAGGCTGGAGTGCACTGGTTCCATCTTGGCTCACTACAGCCTCTGCCTCCTTGGTTCAAGTGACTCTCCTGCCTCAGCCTCCCAGGTAGGTGGGATTACAGGCACCCACCACCACACCCAGCTAATTTTTGTATTTTTAGTAGAGATCAAGGTTTCACCAAGTTGGCCAGGCTGCTCTTGAACTCCTAACCTCAAGTCATCTGCCTGCCTCAGCCTCCCAAAATGCTAGGATTACCCAGCTGAGGTTGCCAATTCTGATGAAACAATCACAACATTTTAGAACTGAAAACTGTGTTAGAGATCTAAACAATATTTTAAGAAGAGGAAATGGAAGATGGGTGAAAAAGCGATGTAAAGATCTGGACCAGGCTGTGCACTGCAGACACTAGGATAGTTAGCTAAATGGAATCCAAGTAAATAAATAAAGGGTGCTCAGTGTTAAAGGGAAAGGCAGCAAATTTGTTTGGGAAAGGGCAGGAATTCATGGTGGTCATAGACATAAGAAACACAGTTTTTCACAGGAATGGTGATGATTTTATTCTTTTCTCCCTGATGCTTTTATTTTTGTATGTTTGTAGTTTCTCATAACTGGAAAGCTTCTCACACCCTTCCTAGTCCTCAGAGGTGGACCATTTTTTTCTCTCAGATTCAGCCGCAAAGGGAGCTCTACCACTCACCATGTGTCTGCTTCTGACTTTGTCATGTTGGGAAGCCTCAGGACCCCACCTCCTTTTACCCACAGGGCCCTCTGTGCCTATGAAAATGAAGTCCCTGAAGTTATTGTGGATGAGTCAACATACCATAACCTAAAATTCAGGAATAAGAAAATTTACATAGGAATCTCTACTTCAATCATCTGTGAGACTCCTCAAGGCTAATTTTCTTTGGGTCATGTGGTAATGTAAAAGAAGAGTTCAAGGTTGATTATATAGCAACTTCTGAGCACAGACCTGGTTACAATATGTTTCCTCTTTTCACAGACATATTTTCCAGGCTTTAATGGGATGTCTCTTGAAAGACAAAAAATAGAATATGCCAGTGTTGAAAATCTTAACTCCTGCACGTTGAAAATTTCAAGTTCTGCACTTTGGGATATTTCAGTAAGGACCTGTGTGGTGGATCTGCTCACCCAGAGATTTTCTCTGTCAATCTCTCTCTCTCTCTCTCTTAACTTCAAATAACCAAAAAAATGCATACATTATAAAGTGAAAAATGTTCAAACAATCCTTCTTTCTGTTGATTTTCGTCAGGCACATTTCAAAGAGTTACTGATGGTTCATTGTGAACAACAGACTTCAGATCATCCTTTGGAGACAGAAGGTAAGTAGCAATGTTATTCTGATTGTGTTTGTGGTGCATTAAGTACAAATTATTAAATATTTCCTCCCAATTCTGGAAACAATAAAATAGAAAAATATATCTTTTTTCCTTTACCATTAAGACCTGAAATTAAAGAAGGGTGACTTTGTGATTTTTTTTTTAAGTACTGAGAAAAGTAGTTCATTAATATGACTATGTGAATCACACCTGGGGATGAGGGACGCTGTTTCAGAATCCAGCCTCTTTAGAAAGCAAAAGAATGGAACAGGAGGACAGCAAGCCAAATGCAGGGCTCTTCAGAGAAGACCACAATACAAGGCCATTCGATGTGATCTGACTATGAGATAGCTTTGCTTTCTGCTTGTTATTGCCTCTCTGGCCATTACTGCTGGTGGCACTGATTAAAGTCTGCAGAAGTCCCTGCTTGCTCTGTATTTATATGGGGAAGTACAAGATGGCCTTTCTTGGCAAGGCGTCAAATTTTAAAAGGAGACAAAAATAAGTTTAGCACAGGGTCAACAGTTGAGTCTGTGTTTAGTGTTGTTTAGCAGAATGCCCATAGGGCAGGAGGGGAAATCAAGGCACACGGCAGCTAAGTCACCTTCCCAAGGTCACCCGCTAGGCAGTAGGGCTGGGATTCAAGGGTTTGTGTATTTGTATAGCCATGCTCAGCTGCCTCTGAATTGCACTTGAGATGTGGGGTCTAGGCCTGGTCTTGCCTAATATCCTGACCGATGTTAGGAAAACCACTAGTCCCTCTGAACCTTAGTCACAATGCCTAAAAGGTGAGAATAATGAGATGCCTAGATTCAAGAGTTTGTGGTGAGGATCACAGGAGATTATGTATTAAAAGTAGTTTATAAAATATAAAATATGAGAATAACGAGGGTCTAAATAATGAAATATGAGAATATAAGAATGAAAAGGGTCTAAAACAATCTAAGAATACATGTCACATTGTCCTATAGCGTGTTCTGTGTCTTGCATTTGGAGTATGCAAATGCATGTGGCATCCTTGGGGGTGGTTTAATAGTTTTCTCTTTTCCTGTAATTGCAGTGATGAGATCTTAGGGGCTTGCCCAGATATGCAGTCAACTTTCACCACAATATTTTATAGGTGGAATAGCAAATACACATGACCATCTACACAAGAGGCCTTGGAGGCGAACAACCTAAGGCAGTGTGTCGACCTTCCAGGATCCAGATTCTAATAAAGCAACTCTTAAAAAGGCACTTATAAAATGCTCAGGATCATTTAAACGCAGATTGGCTGTTAAATTGTATTAAACAACCAGGGCTGATTTTTTTCCAGGGGTGATAATAGTATTTCGGTTCGGTTTTACAAAATGAGTTGTTTTCCTCCTGATTCAAGTATTTGCAAATGGGCATCTTTGAAATAATTTATTTTTTATTTGAGATAATCTGGGAGAGGGTCTCACCAAGAGATGAAACAAGACTGACCCCATGTCAGGGCCAGGTGATGGCTACGCCAAGGGCCATCACGCTGTTTTGGCAGAAAGGGCACAATCCAGCCTTCGTTTTACCCCGAGAAGGTCAGGATGATGCCGCTTACCAGGACTAGAAGCTCATATGTGGCATTATGTCCTTCTATTAGGAGGCCCCGGTGGCAGGTTTCTTTCTGGCTTATTTTCATCACTGTTGACATTCCTTGGCTAGATCCCTGTTTCCCTACGTGTTTGCAAAATGGCGACACTCCTCATTCATTAGCTGTACTACCTTTGAGGGGAGAGGCTTTTGACTACCTTAAAATCTGGTTTGGACAGGAAAGACAGGCAGGTCAAACGTTCCTGTCACTCCCCTTCACCAGTTTTCGGGGTGAAGCAGCCACCGCTTGGCGCAGGGCTGCTCTCTGCTGCCCTCCGCTGGATGGGAGTCTCCACAGACACCCACTCCATCAACCCCTTAAGTTCCCATGGGTTCCCAAGCTTGTCACCACACATCACGTCTCGTTTTCCTCCACAGAGGTCGATGTTTTGAACTATAGCGTTATTTCAAACAAGGCACACTGAACATTGAGTTCCATTTTAATTTAAAAAAGACATATGTAACTGTGGAGCAACAATTTTGATCAGAAAAGAAAACCAGTATTCGGATAAAAATGATGTTTTTCTTAGGCTTGCAGCTGATTCGGTAGACATATTTTTTTGTCCAGCTTGTAAAGCATTGAAACTCATGCTTAATCTGCATTGCTATCCTCCATTGTCACAACCAGAGGTGGCTTTTCAGCCTGTATTCTTCTTCCATCTCCTGCCTTGGCTTTGCATTGAGGGGAAGCTCAGCAAACCTCATTTGATAAGGATCCGTGATGGCACTGGGGATGGCCTTGCTGCAAAGCCTCAGGAAGAAAAGTCACCGAGGTCTTGCTTCCAGTGACTCTAGGGACCAGCGCTGCTGCGTTTCAGTGTTTGGTAAGATTCAGTAAGCTCTCATTCCATTTCTTCAAACAGCATTCGTAGGTGTTGGGGCATCTTCCAATTTTGTATTCTTGGTTTTGACATTTCTTCCGGCAGCGGGCAGTCCCATAACCACATATTCCGCCCAGTACAAATTCACTTCTCACTAGATAACAGGATATGGCACTGTGATTAATTGTGCACTGGCACCAAAAGGCAAGGCTTTGGCAGAAGGTGTTTTCAGAGGGAGACACAGAATGCCAGTGCATGGTGGTGGTGCTTTTCCTGCACCCCCATCCTCCACTTTCCTAGATGATTGACTTGACCGTCTGATTCCCAACCGGCATGGATTTTATTTGAAAATATACATCAGTCCATGTCACACCTGTTTTCAAAACCCCTGCAACAGTTTACTATCGCTTTTTGATGAAATCTAACCAAGCCCCTTACTGGGTCTCCAAAGCAATCTTGATCTGATCTTGTGCCACTTTTTCCAAACTTACGCTGTTCCACTGTGGCCCTCACTCTGTTCCACTGTGGCCCTCACTCTGTACCTCGCCGGCCTCCCTTCTGTTCCCTGTGAGCTTACTCTTTGCTATCCTAGTACCTTCACGTGCACTGTCCCCTGTGCCTGGAAGGTTTTTCTTCCCTCCCACGAGTGGATTCTTTGAACTTTTATATCTCAGCCTTAAAGACAAACCTTTCTCTGTCCTCTTCATGTGTTTAAATGCCCCAAAACTATTTTTCTCTCTATGCATTTGTCATTCTTTTATATCACCTATCCCAAGTTGTAGTTTTATTTATATAAATATATATAACTATATACAGAGAGGTATGCTATATATACTCTCTCTCTCTCTCTCTCTCTCTCTATATATATATATATATATATATATATATATATATGTATGTATATTCTCTGTATATTACTATATATAGTAACCACATATTCTGTCCAGTTCACCTCTCACTAGATAACAGGATATGGCACTGTGTAGTATATATTACTGTATAGAGTATATATAGAGAGAGGTGTAGATATTGATATGTGTGTGTGTGTGTGTGTGTGTATATATATATATATATATGGTAGTTTGCTATTCTCAATGAAACCATGAGCTCCCTGACTATAAGGCCGGTGCTATGTTGCTCACCATCGTGTAACTTGTACCAGGAACACAGCCTGCACTCAGTAAGGATCTGGTGAGTAAATGATTCAATAGACTAGACCAGAAAAAACTAGAGTGGTTGCAAGTAGAGCAGAGGAAACGAGAAAGGAGCAGAATCCTGGTTGTTCGGCCCTTGGCCCAGAGCAGTTTTCAGGAGACGCTGATTTGTTTTCTCAGTCGCAGACTGTGCTCTCTGAGGCTGAAAGCAGCTTTGTAAAGCTCATTATCTCACGTGCCATGCTGGTAGCATCTTACAGAGATATCAGGAAAGCCCAGAAGCAAGGCTGCTGTTAGGAAGGAGAGTGTAAGGCGGACCGAGAGAGCCTCGCTGGAGAGAGCTTCGTGTGAGGATCTCCAGCAAACTCAGCAGGAGCCAGGCTTGGGGGACCGTATCGGGGAACCATGGGAAGAGGAGAGTCCGGACTGCTAGTGGTTCTCTTTGCAGAGGTCGGGGCCCAAGGCCCTAATTTCACCTGAGTCCTGAGTCCTTCTCCCCCTGTCACGTTTGTTCATTTTCCACAAAGCAGAAGGGCAGCAGAGCTGAAACAGGCTGCTAATCCTTGCACCAGGGTTTTACGTCTTTCGTTTGTTCTGGTCAAGAGAAGCCTCCTCTCTTGGATGCTTAGATGTCAGGGTTCTTTGTCCTGGATGCAGGACTTAAAGGCAGTTGGACCAATTCATGGGCCGGACAGGATATTGAAGAGGTTTATGTTTGGAATGGGCCCACAGTGGGTGATGAGGAAAGCCTGTTTTGCTGTAACCTTCATTCAAAAGCAAGCCCTTGTGGTCACAGTACAAGGCAATGAAGAAAGCAGTGAGGTGAGCTGCAATGTCTATCACACTAAGCGAGTATGTGGAGGTTGGGTAGCGGATACATGGCTTCTGACATGTCTGTGGCAGGCCACTTTACAACCTGGAGTCAGAGGAGGAAAAGGAGGATGCCGTGCTAGCTCAGGGAAAATGAGGCTTAGCTTAGGGAAGAAGAATAGGCTAGGAAGAGAATACCAACGTTCAAATGTTAGACTGTCAGTTTTAAGCAAGCCCTCACATGGGCCATCTCTTCAGAGATGAGAGTTAAGGCTCAGAGAAGGAAAGTGACTAACCTGAGATCACACAGCAACTGATCTGTCAGAGCTGAAATTAACACCTAGTTGGTATGTCTTACAGTCTGAGTAAACAGAATGCAAAAGGGAGAATATAATCTACACCCTGAAGCTGAATAATAAATACATCCTAAGCAATAAATACATTCCAAGATAGACTAAATTACACTGGTTTCTTTCTTACATAAGCAATTCCCCTCCTCTGCTCTGTAGACCCAGGAAACCTGGGACAGGTCTCAGGTGTTAGTTAGTTAGAAAGTTTATTTTGCCAAAGTTGAGAATGTGCCTGAGACATAACCTCAGGAGGCGCCAGGTTCACGTGCCCAAGGTGGTTGGGGTACAGCGTGCTTGCTTTTATACATTTTAGGGAGACATAATACATCAATCAATACATGTAAGGTTTACATTTTTTTTTTTTAGACAGAATCTCTCTCTTTTGCTCAGGCTGGAGGGCAGTGGTGTGATATAGGTTTACCGCAACTGCCACCTCTCAGGTTTGAGCGATTCTCCTGCCTCAGTCTCCCAGGTAGCTGGAATTACAGATGCCTGCCAACACACCCAGCTAATTTTTGTATTTTTAGTTGGTTTAGAGACTGTTGGCCAGCCCAGTCTTAAACTCCTGACCTCAAGTGATCCACTAGCCTCAGCCTCCCAAAATGCTGAGATTACAGGTGGGACCCACCACACCTGGACAGTTTACATTGGTTTGTTCCAGAAAGGTGGGACAACTCAAACTTGAATTTGTCTAAAGACCTGGGATCAATAGAAAGGAATGTTTGGGTTGTAATAACAGGTTGTGCTATGGAGACCAAAGTTGTATCATGCAGTTGAAGCTTTTAGCTGGCAGGCTTCAGAGAGAATAGGCTGTAAAATGTTTATCAGACTTTGTCTGTGTTGATGTTATGCTGGAGGGATAATGAGGCATGTCTGACCCCCACTTCCTTTCATGGCCTGAACCAGTGTTTCTGATTAAATTTTAAGAGCCCGGGTTGAGGAAGTAGTCTATTTAGATGGTTGCGGAGGGGGCTTAGAATTTTATTTTTGGTTTACAGCGCCCGTCCCCAGTTGCTGTGGGTATCTGAGCAGCTGACAGTGTGTGACAGCCAGACCTGCCCAAAGCAGGGGCGGCAGATGAGGTGGCCAGTGCATGCCATTCAGCCTCACCCGCTTCTGCCACTTCCCTCCCAAATCCTCTTCCGGCTAAGGAACTTTCTCAGAATTGGACTACGGAAGCCAGTCTGACCCAGCCCTCAGCAGCCAAGTGCGGGTAACGGCAGCCAGCCCTGCGGTACATTCTCTGGGATCTGGAGGGATCTCTGACCCAGGATTTCCATCCCAAAAAGTTCTTTGTCTTGGGATCATAGGTTGAAGAAAACCTGTTCTTTGGTTGCTGTCGTATTTTGACAGACCTGGGACATGCTGATAGCAGAATTTCATAGAAGAGTCTTTGGGAAATGACCCAGAAAGAAAGAAGAAGGAAGAGTTAAGCTAAACAACTACCCTCTGAAAAAAAAAAAAAAAAACCATCTGAATCACAGCAGAGACACAGCCTGAAAGAGGAAAAAGATGAGTGCTGGGCATCAGCAGAACATCAACTGAATAGCTTGGAAGAGAAGATCAGATGGTTTCTATGAGTCAAAACAATTGATTTCATCCCAGCACTGCTACACCTGTGAAGCAACTCTAAGAACATTTTCTCTCCCTCTACTGTAGAAGATGATACTCAGCTTGTAAAAGAAGGAAATTAGATTAAGTGCTCTCTAATATCCATTCCAAATATATTAAGAAATACATGCTTCAAGGGACATAGAACAACATAGGAGTCAGAAGATTGCTGACCTCTCAGTCTAACTTCAGAATTTCCTCAGCAGAGTTCAAAGGCACCTGCTATTTGTGTTGTCAGTAAATTATGTTCTTGGCTGCTGAAAGCATTGCATCCCTTTTAATCCTAATCATCTGACTTGATAGGAAAAGCTGCAGAATTGAGGAGGATGAGTAGGCGCCCCTTCTGTGCAGAGTAAAGCTGTTCAGAAGGATGAGGGTGGAGGAAGGCATCTCATTCTACAAAATAAACAGTGAATCACTTCCACTGCCCTACCATGGAACAGCATGGCTAGTGAGTCCTTTTTTTTTATTTTTATTTTTATTTTATTTTTTTTGCTCCTTGAGCTAGTAAGCCTGGTTGCCATGAGGTGCATATGAGGACTGCCACGTGCTGCGTTTTACTAATGGACCCAATGAGCAAGAGAACAAGGCTGAGACTGAAGGTTACTCTGTCCTTCAGGAATTTTCTAAATCAAATGTTTTTGGGGTTTTTTTTGTTGTGTTTTGTTTTTGGCTACCTGTCATCCCAGCAACTGTATATATTTCCAGCTGAGAGTCTCTTTTTACCTAGAAGATCTCGATCTAGTAGAAGGGAAATGGTTAAGAGTAGCAGTATAAGTCTCTGCATAATGCCAGAGTTGCCAGTGAGAAGCAGACACAAGGCGGAGGGAATCACGCCAGGCAGGAGCAGGGCAGGTGTATTTACAGGCAGAGGCTGCTCCTGATCACTGAGGCTTATTAAAAGGCAGCATTCCAGGCCGGGCGCAGTGGCTCACGCCTGTAGTCCCAGCACTTTGGGAGGCCGAGGCGGGTGGATCACGAGGTCAAGAGATTGAGACCATCCTGGTCAACATGGTGAAACCCCGTCTCTACTAAAAATACAAAACATTAGCTGGGCATGGTGGCGTGTGCCTGTAATCCCAGCACTTTGGGAGGCCAAGCGAGGGAGGAGGATCATTTGAGCTCAGGGGTTTGAGTCCATCATGCACAACATAGAGAGACTCCCATCTCTAAAGAAAAGGAAAATTAGCGAGGAATGGTGGTGTGTGCCTGTAGTCCCAGCTACTTGGAAGGCTGAGGAGAGAGGGTCTCATGAGCTCAGAAGTTTGAGGTTGCACTGAGCTACCATGGCACTACTGCACTCCAGTGCAGGCAGTTGAGCAAGACCCTGTCTCTGAGAAAAAAAAAAAAAAAAAAGATGAAGGGGAGACCGAGCAAGATTGAGCAGGGGAGTTTTCAACCATGATGCCAGTTGACACCTGTGAAAAGGTTTGGAGTGAGGGTAGCCTCAGACTGCAGTGCAGAAAATTTCAGCATTGCCAGTGGGGGACCCCAGCAAAGACTGTCCTCCACTGGCAGACATGGCCCAGGTCTAGTCCACATTGTGCTCATTCACCGACTGGAAGCAGCCGGGGGGAGAGCGGTGGCTGTGGCAATCCTCCTGCAGGTTGCAAATGTGCAGCAGGTGGAGGCTGTGGGGTGCTCTCCTCGCCAACGTGCAAGACCCGTGGGACTCTCCTAGCCTGCCACATTTTAGGCTTTAGTAATTTTTGATGATGAGCCTCCAGGGGAAAAAAAATAAGTCCGCTGATATTAAAGTAATCTCTGTGATTAGGATTCTGAAGAAAACTGAAAAATTCTGATGATAATAAACATTCAGCAGCTCTTCAGAGAAAAAGGAATTCACATACAGGGACTGAATAATAAAACTTCAAAAGAAATTCTAAAGTAGCTACAGTCCCAGAGGGAAAGGTTTCCAGCTGCTTGAATACAGATAAGCTCATGATTCTTTGTCTTCCCCAAACCCTGCCTACTTAAGATCTTCTGTTGGACCCAGTCCAGTTGCTGTTGGATCCAGACACAAAGAGAAAGCAGTGAGTATAGTGGGCTCAGCTAGTAACTACAGCTGGTTCCTCATTGTCCCAGTAACCATCATTAGGGCTTCTTTGGGTCCCTCTTCTGACACCAGAACTATTAAAAAAAAAAAAAAACAAACAAACTTAGGTACATAAGAATCTTAAAGTTTTCTTTTGAGCAGATATCAATTTAAGAATCGGGCAGGCTCCAAATCACAAGTATTTTGGGGCTCAGGTGAAGAGGCATGAGGAAAGGCTTTTATAGGGTGAAAGTGGAAGCAGGGCAAACAGCATCTAATTGGCTACAGGGGAGTAGGAACCTTATTCAGATCATTTCAGTGGACAGTCCCTTGTTGAGTTTCGTTGGTGGTTTCTGATTGGTTAAAGTTTTCTTTTACCATTCAAACTAAGTTGGGTTTCAGTTTGCATATGTAGAAACCAAGGGCACTGAAGCTCTCTCAGTCTAATGGTGTCTTATTTAATTATTTTAACAAGAGAAATAGTCTGTGTTTATATATTACAGCATTTAACATTAACATGTCAATTATTTATAACTTGATCTATAGATTAAATATTATCTCAGTCAAACTTTCAAAAAGCTATGTTGTCGATATTTCCAAAGGGATTCAAAAGACCTAGGATTGTCAACATAGTACTGAAAAGAACAATGTTGGTGGATGATATGGTTTGGTTGTGTCCTCACCCAAATCTCATCTTGGATTTTGCTCCCATAATCCCCACATGTCATGGGAGGAACCTGGTGGGAGGTAATTGAATCATGGGGGTGGGTTTTTTCTGTGCTGGTCTCAGGATAATGAATAAGACTCAGAAGACCTGATGCTTTTATAAAGGGCAGTTCCCCTGTACACGCTGTCTTGTCCGTCACCATGTAAGACAAACCTTTGCTCCTTTTTCAACTTCTGCCACGATTGTGAGGCCTCCCCAGCCATGTGGAACCATAAGTCCATTAAACCTCTTTTTCTTTATAAATTACCCCATCTTGGATATTTCTTTATAGCAGTGTGAAAATGGATTAATACAGTGAACTTACACTACCTTGTATCAAGGCTCACTATAAAACTGCAATGATGAAGACAATATGGGAGTGGTGAAGCAATAAACAAATAGATCAAACAGATCAATAGAACAGAATGGATAACTCAGAAAAGACCAAAGCAACTGTTGTCTATTAAGGAAGCAAAGGTAATGTCATGGAGAAAGGACAGTGTACTCAGCAAATGGTGCTTGAACAAATAGATGCCCCTATGAAAAAGAGAAAGTGGAGGAGAGGGAGAGAGGAGAAGGGGAGGTGATGAAGCAGAGGAAGAAAGAGAGACAGAGACAGAGACAGAGACAGATGTCCTACCACGGGGTAGTGATTAAACAAACTGTGGTTCATCCACATCATGGCAATACTGCCCAGCAATAAGAAAGAGCTATTGAAACATGCAACAAATTGGATGAATCCCCAGAAAGTTATGCTGACTGAAAAAAAGCCAATCTAATAAGGTTACATACTTTCCATTTATATGGCATTCCTAAAAGGACAAAATTGTAGAAATGGAGAACAAATCGCTTATACAGGGGTTAAGAAGGAGATGGAGGTTGGGGGGAAGAGGGACTGGCTCTGAAAGGGTAACAGGAGACGTCATCCTGATGATGGGAATGTTATGCGTCAATGAATGTCGGTATCCTGCTTGTGACATTGCACTGTGGTTTTACAAAGATGTTACTACTGAGGAAAACAGAGTAAAAGATCTGGATATCTCTCTGTATTTTTATTATTTTTTACAATGATATAGGAATGTACAATTATCTCAAAACAGAAAGTGTAACTAAAACATCCTTGTCATAAAAGAATTATTGATTCTAATAGAATTAAATCTGTCAACTTTGAAAAATTAAATGAGAGGTAAGGCAAGATTTCTGACACAGCAGGAAACCAAAACTGAGTCTTAAGCACTGGGGACACGACAGGAAATTCTTACTTAAACTAAGTAATTGTCTCAGTCCACATATGCTGCTATAATTAAATATCTTAGGCTGGGTGATTTGCAACCAATAGAAATTTATTACTTACAGTTTTAGGGGCTGGAAAGCCCCTGAAGATTTGTTATATTCTGAGGGCCCAATTTCTGCTTCCGAGAAAGCAGCTCGTTGCTCAGCCTTCACGTGGCAGAAGAGGCAGGCACTGCATCCTCACGTGGTGGAAGAGCAAGTCAGCTTCCTTCAACCTCTTTTATAAGGGTGCTATTTCCATTCATGAGGGCAGTGCCCTCAAGACTTAATCATCTCCCCAAAGGCCTCACCTCTTAATCACCTCTAATCACAGTGGGGATTAGGCTTCAGCATTCGTTTTGGAAGAACACATTCCCACCATAACAGTAATTTTGAGGCTTAGAACAGAAGGTAACTTGTCAGCCCGTTCCTAGGAAAATAGTAGGCAGTGATTTGGGGAAGAGGATCTAGGTCATTGGAGTTACTGGGACTCATATTTATGATCCCCGTGCCCATTAGCAAATTTTATCTCAGACTTATATGTAGGGAACAAGTCCTTGGGAAATATTTCACTTGCTCTACTTAAAAACATGGAGTAATGATGATTAATTTATACAGGGGTATGCGTGTGACACATAAAAGTCCTTGATAAATGGACTGCCTATCCATCAATTTGTCATTAATGTAACTATTCATCTAAATGAATGCTCATTTACATGGACATATGGCATAATGGTAAAACTTGTAAAAGAAGTATTGCTCGTTTCTCTATCTATTCATCTTCTTTCATTTTGCTTACTTCTTTCATCTCAATAGGTTAGCAAGGGCCAAGTGACTGGGTAGAAGCTAGAGATTTGTTGATTTCTAGTCTCTTCTAGCTCCCTTTTAAGAAAAATATCAGATGGTTTTGGGACAATTTCTTTTCCACAGAATTATAGAAAAATAAGCCAGGATGGAGGGACCATCAAGGTCAGGTAGTCATGTTCTCCTTTCTCAATGAAACACTTGACAAACTGAGCAAAGACAGTCATTTATTTTTATTAAAGTGTCTACTTGCAGCAGAGGCAAGAGTAAAAAGATGCTAGGTCATGTACGCTTCTCTGGAAACCTACATCTTCTGAATTAATCTTCTGTCATCTTCCCACATGGCTGCATGGTCAGACAGCATTTCAGAGACTTCTGGCAGAGGGCAATAATTTCTTCATTTTTCTTACAATAATCTGTGCATGTCCCTTTAAGTCTCTGGCATCTCTCATCAAAAAATGCATTCTTGGCTACACAAGGGAAGGAGCCATTTGGATTAATTCACTTTTCAGACATGTCTGTTTACCAGTTACAGTTGTACGACTAGTTGGTGAAGATTTCTTCACAAGCTGTCGTAGTGCCATATCCTACCAGTAGATGAGATGGTAGGGAACCTGTTTTTTATGTCATATTTCTGTCTTCTGATCACACAGGATGAAATACCAGACGGAACAGATTGGTCTTCCAGCATTTGAGACCAAGCTGCATAGGAGCTTTGGGAAACAGAAGCTAGGGTTGTTTGATCAAAATCTGTTGGGATAATTAACTGCTTGCTCCCATAAACACCCCCAGAGGCTGCTAATTTCCCCGATGCACACTCAGAGGTTGCTACTTGGTGAGAGCAGAGTAAGAGCTGAGACTGAGGAGATGGCTCCAGACCAGAGCAAAGGAAGGGATAAAGATATAAAAAGAAAACAAGTCTACTCTGGGAGATAGAGACTTGCTTGGAAGGCTCACCCTGATTTCTCCTCCATACTCCACCAAAGCATTGACTGTGGAAAGCTTGTGCTTTAGAGCAGGAGGGTGTAGCATGTTGGGAATGTTTTTCTAAGATTTTCTCAGGTCAGTTTGTACAGAATTCCACCTCCCACCTTAGGGCTTTATCAGTAGCAGTCCCAAGAGCAGCCTACTTCAAGTTAAGGACAGATAGCGCATCTTAACAGGATCAGCATTTTAGAGTTGCCCAATTTGGGTACACATAATGAATGCATCAGATGTATAGAGATTGCATTTAATGTTAACATATAAGTGTAAACATAAAATTCACATCTACATAAAACGTACAGCCAGATGGATTAGTGCCAGCATATACACTAATTATCCAGGATCAGCACATCAGTTCATAAATGAAAATACTCCACTATTTCAAAGCTCAATGAACTCTGGCTTTCACTGGTTGGGGTCTATGTTCTGTCTGCCCTACTATAAGGAAGATACTAATACAATACTGTACTATAGACTATAGCATAGGACTCAGAGAAAATCTTTTTAATTTAGTATAGTATTATAGTATAGCATATGTATACCATAAAAATACTAGTATTATAGTATATACTATATTACTATACCAGTATGATAATGTACTAGTATTATAGTATATACTATAGCATTATACATACTGTATACTAGTATATAATACTACTTCCTTCTTAATTTTTTTCCAATTTTTGTTTTTGTTAGCATGATACCAAAAGGCATGTTTCCTTGCCTTCTTTTATTCTTTCAAACCTGTGACAGCCCCTCCTCGACTATATTATGCTAGTATTAATAACATACTAGTATAATATAGTATACCATAATATAATGCATATGTACTATGGTATACTATAATACTCTACTAAGCCAAAAGGATTTTCTCTAAATACTATCATAGTATAGTATTATATTACAGTGTATCTAATAGCTAATTATTAGATTATCTAATTATACAATTATAATTATCTATTATATAATTATTATAGTAAATTATAATTGTACAATTATAGTATTATCTAATAATTAGTATAATGCTAGTATATGTATATTATTATAGTATATACTATGCTGTACTATAAGTCTCTTCTAAGCCAAAAAGATTTTCTCTAAATACTATCATAGTATGGTATTATACTACAGTATATCTAATAGATAAGTATTAGATTATCTAATTATACAATTTAGATTATTACATAGTTAGAGTAAATAATTATAATTGTATAATTATAGTATTATCTAATAGATAATTAGTATAATGCTAGTGTATTATTATAGTATATATTATGCTATACTATAATACCATACTAAACCAAAAAGATTTTCTCTAAATACGATCATAGTATAGTATTATACTACAGTATATCTAATAATTATATCATTATAGCTAATAATGATCTATAATTGAATATAGTAAATTACAATTGTATAACATAGCATTATCTAATAGATAATTTTATAGTATATAAACATCTATTGTTTGGACTAATTATGTAATAAGCATGAGGCATCTGACAAAGATACCTGTGGCCAATTTCCAATGTGCACATCAAAGCCAGTGGCCTGAATACAGTATGGGTCACTTTGAGTCCTAGAGCCTCATGTTCTGACACAGAATCTACTCGACAGGCTTGTCACAAAACAGACCAGAGCTATGAACAACGGATGTGAAAGTGTGCGCATTACACATGGGATCATGTATCACTAGCATCTGGCACAAACCGGGACTTACTGTGGGTTCTGAGAATCCCTTTCTTCAGCTCTCTAAGGCTGTCATGAGCCTAGTCTTATGCCTTAATTTTGGAGAGGATACAACCGGAGGAGTTGGAAGTTCGTGGGAGCAGGAGAGTGTCCAGAGAGTTTTGATATGGGAGGGGCATCTTGAACGCCTCACTGTCGGGCTCCTCCCCTGACTTTATTTAGGTTATCTACATGACTCTGAGAAGCCTTGGCCCATCTGAGGCACAGTTTCTGCATCTGTAATCAAATTTGTGAAACAGACCTCCAAAACCAAAAAGATTTTCTCTAACTACCATTAAATTAGAAGCAGGACAGAGTTTTCCTTAAAGGCGCTGGCACTGGAAGACTAGATGCATTTTACGGGAACTTCTCATCACAGTACGTGGCTTGACGAGATGGATTAGGAAATGGCAGTCCTTACCTGTCTCCGTGACTGGCATGAATGCAGAGGTGTCTCTCAGCTCCAGTCCTTACCCGTCTCTCTTCCTTACCTGTCTCAAGCTCTACCATAACTACATTTTACAAGGTTCATAGACTGCCATCCTTGTTTTTCATTTTTTTCCAAGTTATGTTTTTGTTATTGAGCATGAGATTGGATGCCAAAAGGCATGTTTCCTGGCCCTCCTTTATTCTTTCAAAGCTGTGACAGCCCTTCCTCGATAACAATGTAAAATGCAAAGAAATTACAGAAGAGGCATGAGGGGGTTATCACCTCTTGTAGTAGATGGGTTGATCACCCCCAGGCATCCACTGAAGGGGACCCTCTCTCTGGGACACCAGCTCTGATCACCTTCCCTGTAAAGATGCAAATTTTACCTGGGGTCAGAAAGAAGAGCACAGCAAAGAGAAAGAGGAATGTCCTCATGACTGGGAGGGTCTGGAGAGGTCAGCACAGTGTCCATGAGGGAAGAGCAGCAAACACCCACATTTATACATTGCTCCAGACCAAGTAGCATCTTGATCAGTGAGGCTTATCAGAAACGAGAGGATTTCCATGCTCTGCTGCGCAGAGCCCAGCCACCCTCAGTGGGTGTCACACAGTCTACAGCTCATCATTGTTCTGACTCTGGAAGGTTTTCAAGAAGGAAAGTGAGGATGAAGGGAGGACAGAGTAGGGCAGACACAGAAAAAATTTAAACATCTGGAGTCTGGCAGTTTGGTTTCTAATTCTGACTGTGCTCCTGAACAGCTTTGGTGTACCCATATGTAAAATGAGAGTAATCATAGAATCTCTCAATGCTTCAGTTAAGAGCTGATGCACCGTAGTGAGGTGGAATCTGAATTCCAGATTCAATCTTGTTGAGCTTTGTAAACTTGGCAAAAGGCTTGACCTAATCATGTGTTTAAAAATGTGAATCTTGCTGTATGCTGTGCACTTTTCTTGCTTGGTCCTGCCATGCTGCCCACCTGTACCATGGCACTGTGGGCACAGCGAGAGGCTGGTAACCATCATGCCTCACCCGAGACACTCAAGGCTTCGACACTCACTTCCAGCCTTCTGCATATTCACACCTAGGTCCCTGTGGGGTGATGGCTGCTGGAAGGGGTTAGGAAGGGGGAGGCCAAGTGAGGCCCAGGGTGCCAAAAGTGAGGAATCCTCCAGGAAGGTGAAGAGGGGAAGGAAGTCTGGAGTGCACATAAGCTGTGCTTCCGAAGTCCCAGAGCATGCTCCACTGTTCCCTCAGACTTGATTTACAATGCATATATTCAGAGGCCAAGTTAATAAAACTTTCAACACAGTGACTGCAGAGCATGAAATCCCAAATTGAGGCAGAGAGCTGTGGCTGCATTGGCCATTTGCCCGGGAGGCTGGCCCTGATGCAGGCTATATAAAATACCTAAAAGCTGAAAGCCTGGAGGCTCAGCCCTATCCCCTATATCTACAGGCATTAGCTCGGATTCTGAATCTGAATTGTTTGCAAGCCACAGCAGCAACATAAAAATGTGTGCCTTTTTGCATAGGCCAGAAAAGGTTCATGGTGAATTTGTGGACTTGAAAAAGAGTTTACAGAACACTTGGGCTCAAGGCTGAATAGAGAGAAAGGTGCATTAGTACTAGTGATAGTAGCCAGGAAGTCTGCTAAGCACTTTATATACCTTATCTCAGGCAATCCTCTCAAATACTCTGTGACTAAGTACTGTAATTATATCTTTAAGGGTTAGGAAACTGAGGTTCAACAAATTAAGTAACCTATCCAAGGTCATCTACTTTGTGAGTCATATACTTCGTAGTCTTTATTTTAAAATTATTCTACTTTACATTACAGAAATAAAGGACAGGACATCGTATAAATATAGGCAACAGGGAAGGAATAAGCAGGACTTATTTGAGGGGAAGATAGTGGTATCAATATTGATTTTCATACCCATGTTTTGTTTTGTTTTGTTTTGTGATTTGAGACAGGACCTCACTCTGTTGCCCAGGCTGGAGTGCAGTGGCATGCTCATGTCTCACTGCAGCCTTAAACTCCTGGCTCAGGCCATCCTCCCACATCAGCCTGAGTGGCTGGGACTACAGGTACATCCTACCAAGCCCAGTGATTTTTTAAAAAATTATTTTGTAGAGACAAGGTCTCACTATGTGCTCAGGCTGATCTTGGAACTCTTGGGCTCAAATAATCCACCTGCCTTGGCCTCCTAAAAAGCTGTGATAATAGACACAAGTCACCCATCTGGGCCAATACCTATGTCCTTAATGAATTTAAAATATGCAGTAATTATGACTTTCACCTGTGAAGTGATATCTTACAGGAAAGGGGACTCAGAGCTAACTTGACAAAATGATTACTACCCCTCCTTTTCTCCTTGTAATACTTGTAGACAATAAAAATGAAAGCTAGAGTCCACATTTGTTGAGTTCTTATACGGCACCAGGCCTCATTCTAAGCATTCCACATGTTTAAAACACTTTTTCATTATAATCATACTAGATCCTTACAAAACCTTGAGAAGGAGGCAGAATTTGTGAGTGGGTTCTTATTTTCTCCCAGAAAACAGGAGCTGGAAGAGATGAAAAGGGTCGCTAGCTTCTGGTCCCTGGATTAGTACGGCAGAAACTTGCATGACCCCTGGTCTTTCAACCCCTAGCCTGGTGTTCTTTCCACTACACTGGTTAGACTCCCCAAAATATAAGGCTTTCTGGATGCCAAGGGTTATCATGCATGATACCATCCCTTGATCCTGGGAAACGGAGCAGATAATTGTGCTTTCTTTATTGATTCAATTCACTGATCAAGAGCATCTCCCCATTACTTTTAAATATAAATGAGCCTCTCATTTGGGTCTTCTCAAGGAAATCCCAATTTCTATTCTAAAGAGTCTTCCCTAAAAGATGGTCCTGATAAGGAAGATGTTTTATTTTGTATTTGTTGCGTTCTTCGTTTTGGCTCAATGGCCATCTGGTAAATAAAAATGGATGGGATTTTGATGGGGCAGATTATAAACCCTGATGATTCTTCTATGTTTGACCTTGAAAAGGAGAGTAATGGTCAACGCCCCATGGTGCCTGTCATGGGAATTTCTTAGATATACAGTGACATTTTATAAGAGCAAACTGCATAGAGTGTATTTTTTTGTTGTTGTTTGTAATTTGTTCTTGCTGGTTTCCTGGAATGCTGGCCTTGAGAAATAGGATAAAGATTGCAACTCTGCAGTCCACTGTCTTCTGATATGCCATGTCCCATGTGGAGTTGGGAATAATGTTTTATACAGTGTTAATTCCTGTGTTGATTTTAATTTTCAGAATGTATTTTGTTTTGAATTTAGGGAGCCAGGCAGGACTTGAATTTTCCCAGCCATTTTCATCAGGTAAGTAAAATCTCTTGTATATAATTATTTTTTCCCTTAGGAACTCTGACTCTGTTGGTTCTCTTGGATGTCCAGAGACAAAAAGGGGACAGAGATAGTGGCGGAAATAGAGTTGTCTGAAATACTAGTTCACTAACTTACCTTCTTCTCTTTCTCTTGTTCCAAGTATAATAATTGGATATTTTCGATTTCACAGAAAAATATCTTTGTGGCTAGACTGTAATTTGGCCGTAGAGAATTGGACTCAGTGGCTTTTCCCATTAGCTGTGGGTGCTCACTAAACTGAGGTCATAGATTTAGTCTTGTACCAACCATTAGCTCTGCTCTGAGAACGTGCCTGCCCATCTCTTGGAAGCTCTGCTGCTAAGTCTGGTAATAACATATATCACACATGCATGAGGTTGGTTGAAGGAAGCTCAAATTGAAGAGTGAGGTTACTTCGATGAAAACTCAGCACCATCACAGAAAAGCTATTCATAATGAAGAGCCCCCAGGTCTCTTCTCTTTTTTTGAAGTCATCTTATACAGAAAGAAAGCACATTATATAGGAAAATGAAAGAAATATTGTAAACAAAGTTGAAAAGGGTTTAGAAAGAATTTCAAAGTGAGAAATATTAGGTTGCTACTAGTCCTTGAGTGTTTCCCGTGTACCAGGCATCCTATTAAAAACTTTACATGGACTTTGTCATGTCATCTTCAGAACACTCCTATGTGGTAGTTAATATTATAACCAAAATATTTGCATATAATATTCCATTTGATCCCCAAGCTGATATTAAAATGTAGTCAGGTGCTTCTAGAATGGCCACTGGACAAGCGAGAATGCTGATCTTAAGAACTTACTGAGGATGCCTGGCGATTACTAGGCCCAAACAAGACTTGAACTTAAGATTCTTAACTCTATCTTCAAGGATCTTCCCAAAACCACAATATATCCCTCGCATTTTTGTCTAGCAAACTTCACAGTAGTATCAGGTATGTATTTTTATAGTTCTATAGTATGTATGTCTCTTTGTCTGCCTATGGTTTACTTTTGATCCCTGCAAGATTATAAACACTTGGAAAGTAGGAATTGTGATGATCTGTTGCTCAAAAATTAACTCGCCCCAACTCCCTACTGCAAAAAGCAGGAGCTCTTATTGAAAAATCTGGGCTGAATAAAGAAAAAAAAAAAGAAACAAAAAAAAAAGTGTAAAGAATAAAATAAAGAAAAAAAATGAAAATTCTGGGCTGGTTCTTGAAAATATTCTTTGTAATCATGCACACAAACTCTCCCCTTTTTTGGTGGATTTTGACATGGTCCCCATTTCTAGACAGTTCTTGAAAGACCTGAGCAGCTCTTTCTTGGCACAGGTGAGTTTGCTGTCTGTGAGTCATGCAAGCTCGGTCGGGGAAAATGCCGGAAAGAGTGCTTGGAGTCTGAGAAGGCCGTTGGAAGCTGCAGGCTGAACTTTCTCTGCTGCCGACGGACGATCTGACAAACCAGTCCAGCACCCTTCTGGCCTTAGAAGTGTATTCAAGGGAAGAAGTTCAAGAGAAATTATGTGGCTTATCCAAGTCACACGGTGAGTCTCAGAATCATTCTCATTTCTTTCTCTCTTTGCTTTATTTTATTGCTTATTTTATTTTAAAGATGACCTTTTTTTTTTTTTTTTTTTTTGAGATGGAATCTTGCTCTGTCACCCAGGCTGGAGTGCAGCAGTGCGATCTCGGCTCACTGCCACATCTACCTCCCAGGTTCAAATGATTCTCTTGCTTCAACCTCCCAAGAATCTAGGAATACGCATGCCACCATGCCTGGCTAATTTTTGTACTTTTAATAGAGACAGGGTTTCACCGTGTTGGCGAGGGTGATCTTGATCTCCTAAGCTCAGACAATCTTCCCACCTTGGCCTCCCAAACTGCTGGGATTATAGGCGTGATCCACTGTATCAGGCGAGATAACCTTTTAAAAATAAAATCAAAACATGAGTGTGTACTTAGTAGATACTCAATCAGATACCACTACTATATATTTGTGGAGTACCTTATAATTTATGAAATATTTTCCATACTTCTCTCATCTGACTCATGATTACCTTATGAGATTTTGTTACTCCCATTTATATTTGAAAATATTGAGGCCCAAGAGGCTGTTATTTCCTCAGAGCCATAGCTAGGATCCATTAACTGTTCTGTGTTCTCTGTATCCATCTGTATGTACTAACTCTCACAGAATTAATAGAGAAATGGAAGTGACATCCACATCTATGTTAATAAAGTAATAATTCTATCATACATAATTTTTATATTCACATTATTTCTTGCTTTGCCTAAATATTGTCATTCATTGATTCTAGTACTTATGATATATTTACTTGTGAAAGAAAATGATTAGAGATTAACTTAAAATGTTGAGCACAAAAGGTACGTAAATAGCTGACTGTTTAACTTGTGCCTTGTGAAATAAAATCCAGCTTCACAAAATAAAGGTCAAAAAAAATTTTTTTTTTTTTTTTTTTTTTTTTTTTGAGACGGAGTTTCACTCTTGTTGCCTAGGCTGGAGTGCAATGGTGCCATCGCGGCTCACTGGAACCTCTACCTCCTGAGTTCAAGCGATTCTCCTGCCTCAGCCTCCCAAGTAGCTAAGATTAGAGATGCCCACCACCACGCCCAGCTAATTTTTGTGGTTTTAGTAGAGACAAGGTTTCACCTGTTGGCCAGGCTGGTCTTGAACTCCTGACCTCAGGTGATTCACCCACCTTGGCCTCCCAAAGTGCCGTGATTATAGGCATGAGCCACCATGCCCAGCTGGGATGATTTTCTTGGCATATCTCTACATCTTGAGCAGAAGCCATCTTTCCTTTAATAACGTATTTAATTTATTTTAGAGATACAGAAATACTTACATTTTCTGCTAATTCTTGTGTCAATTTTGGTATGTTAAATTTTTGAGAGAATTTTTCCAGTTTATATAAGTTGTAAAATGCTTTGTCATATACCTGTTGACAATAGTTTTATATTATTTAATGTCTCTTGGATCTGTAGTGATAACTTCTATTTCATTTATTCTGTATACTTGGGCTTACGTTGTTTCCTAAGGTTCTTAGAACATAATTTTAAGTCATAGATTTAAACATTTCTTCTTTTCTACAATAAGTATTTGGATATAAATTGCTTTCTAAGTGATTGTTTTGTTGTGTTCCACAAAATTTGATATATAGAAATGTTTTCCAGTTCTCATTATTTATTCTTTGATGCACACATAACCTACAATTATGTTGCTTTATTTCCACATATTTGGAAATACCCTAAATAGCTTATTTTATAGATTTCCGATATAATCCCCTTGTGGTGAGAAATATACTCAGAAGAATTTAAATGTTTTTAAACACATGAATATTTGTTTTATGGCCTAGCATATGGTTTATTTTTATGACTGTATCATATGTACTTAAAAATGGGTATTTTGCAATTGGGTTATGATGTGTTCTATAAGCAGCAATTTAGTCGATGCAATGGTGGTATTGTTTATATCATGCATGACTTTGCTAATTTTTCCATGTTCTATCAGTTGCCAAGAGAGTGGTGTAAAAATTTTCTACTATGAATATAGAAGTGTCTGTTTCTCCTTTTAATTAAGCAATGTAAAAACATGTTAATGATTTTTATGTATTTTTGATGGATTAACCCTTTTCTTTTTAAGCAACATCACTCCATGCAATAGAGCGAGACCCTGTCTCAAAAAACAAACAACCTGCACGTGCACTCCTGAACTTAGAATTGAAGGTTTTGTTTGTTTTAGTTTTTCTTTTTAAGAATTAGGTTTCATGTAAAATCATGTACTAGGAAAAGGTTGGTGGCTATATATCTTATGAACATGATAATACTTGAGATAAGACTTGAAGGAAAAATGAGAGAAATCTAAGCAGAGGCATAGAATAAAATATTCCAGGCAGAAAGGCAGGGTTCTCTGCCTTTCTCTTCCATAAATGTGATTTAGTTCGAATCTGATCCATCAGCCCACACATTAATCAGTGGAGCATGGAAAATAGTATGTTCCCAAAGAACATTACAAACCAAGCTTGACTTCCAGCCCTTTTAGAGCAGAGGAACATATTTTAATCAATGCCTCTTGATAAAAGAGCTTGATTCCAGCTACTGCACTTCCTTCATCAGCTCTCCAATGATGCCTGGAGCCATGAGAATATTTTTCTTTATTTTTGCTGCTCTCATTCTTCTTGCTCAAATTTTCCCAGGTAAGAAGGAATTTCTTTTAGAGATAGAGATGACAGTCTGCTCAGGATCTGTCTTTTGAGAAGAAAGCTCAACTTTTACAAAGTTGAAGTTTCCAAGGCAAACCAGTCACTGAAAATCTTTTCCTAAGCTCAGGCACAAAACAATGGGACCTCATTGACCCAGACCATCTCCAACCATAATAGTATCCGGTCAACTTCCCTAATAGCTCTGCCAAGGAGTTCGGCCTTCTTCAGACCTTTAGATCACTTTCCTCTTTTTATAATCTGCAATGCAGGTTCAGCATCTTCCAAAGTGATTGCTTTAAAAGGAAAAAAAAAAAAAAATCCAGGCAAATGCCAAACATATTTGTTAATTCAGAAAAGTACAGCCTTTGGAGTCTAAATTAAACTAAAGTTATGTTAATAGCTTCTTAGACAGCTATATTTTTTTCATGTCTGAGTTGTTGGTCCAAATCTCTTATCCATAGATTATTTTAGGCTCTCTGGTTTTCACACACTGGTTGAAAATGATACCATTAAAACCACTAAACTAACATCTTACTATTCTCTTAAGTCTTTGAGTCTCTCTTTGCTCAATACCAACCATAATTCTATTCCTAAGACACGTTTTTGTCCATACCTCCTCAAGTATCCCTTGTTCTTTCTGTTATGAAGCTTTTCCTGTTAGAGGCTCTCCATGCATCATGGAGCCCCTGTCTGCTCCTTCGTGGCTCCTGAATTTCTGCATTTCTTTATTACACATTCTGTCCTCAGTAGTCCTACCAAACCAACAGATATGGAATGTGTGCTAACCAACTCTAAGAAATTGCTCCATCCATGACAATAAAGGTAGGTGAAGTGAAGAGGCAAAAATATAATTAAAGCATGGACATTGACCCTAATTTGCTTGAAGTTATTAGTCAGTCATTTCTGTCATTCAAAAATAGATTGCCTGTAATGGTAAATAGACATTTAATAAATTTAACATGTATGAGTAAGTATATCAATGAGACAGGAAGATACACAGATAACTTTAATATGAAACGGTTTTCACAAGTACCATAAAAGATGCAAGGTATAGAGAGAAGCCATAGATCCGGAAACTTGCTTCTAACTAGGAAATGCAGAAAGGCTTCCTGGAAAGTAGTATTTGCATTGCACATTTGGAAATAGGCAAGACTAGAACTAAAGATCAGAGCCAAGGAACACAGTCCCCATGAAAGTTTGAGTGATCCCATTGTTTCAGTGACCCCAAGAAAGTCTCAGTTGTAAAATCAGTTCCCTATTTTCTGCCCTCAGTGTCTTTTCATAGATGTCAGACAATGCTCCAGGATAGATAAACGCATTTTAAAGTGTCTTCTCCAATGTATTCAGATCAGTCTATAGATGTAGATGCCTAATAGCACCCTGTCCACAAAACTCATCTCAGACATATTTGATTTACAATAATAAGCATAGTCTGGGCACAAATTAGGACCACCACCATCGCCATAATAGCACAGAATCTCAGAGTTAGAAGTGAATTTAATGATCAACATAAAAGGCAACAAACGTAGGTTATTAGGCCAAACTATATGAGTTTGGATCTCAATGACAATCTTTATAAGCTGCATGTACTCTGTGTTTTACTTTCCTTTCCATAAATGATAATAATAGCATTGTTTTGAAGATGAATAAACTTGTTACATTAATTAGAAACTAACTTACTATAATAAAGAAACTTAGAGTGACTGAAAAAAGATAAAACCTTATTTCTTTTTCATGTAAAAGTCCAAAAATAGCTAAGTTAACTAGGTGAGGGTAGAGGGTTTGTTTTCACCAAGTTATGCTGTGATTTGGGCTGAAGGTCAACCCTGTCATCCTAAACAGGTGACCATTTTATTTGGTCCCAAGAATGTTCTAACAGACAGGTTTAGAAAGTATAGAACATGATCAAGATTACGTAGAAGCAGCTGACATCATTCCGTTCCTTTTTCATTTTTCCAAGTTTGTTCATGTGGACAGAGAAATAGGAAGCTAGGAGCTGATTCATTAGCTAAGTATTCATGTGTCCAGGTAACCCAGGGGCTCTATGGCTAAAAGTCTGAAGGCAAAAATGACTGCTTTGGGACAGTTTGACAATCTTTCTATATAACTGGGCAGTGCTGGACACATCCTCTATGCTATGTTAGAGTTTATTATTATTTGATTGTCATTTGTTCTTCTACATATTTTCTTTTGTTCTCTGCCCTGATTCAGTATTGAATACCCTATACGTGTTTCTTTATATATATATATATATATATATATATATATATATATGTCAACTGATTGTCCAGATGCCTGATAAATTTCAGTGATCTGAAACTCACAGTATCCCAAGTTCAACTTTGGACTATTTAACAATTTCTCCTTAATTTGAGCACAAATATAAGTCCCTGCAATTTGTATTAGTCTTTGCCTTACCTTGGAACTAACAAAATATCTTCCACATGATAGTATTTCAGATATATGGCAGCTGATAGGTACTGTTTCTTCCCAAAAGTTGTTATTTCCAAGAATAAAACATTGCTCCTTTTAAGATTAACTGCAACTTCTTCCACTATTTTTTCCTAAGACTATATCTTACCAATTAAAAAGGATTCCGGTTTTGAAATATTTTTTCTCCATCCTAATCTCTGTTATGAGTGAGGGCCATTGCCTATGTCTCATTTGCTTGCCAGAGCTAAATACGCGATTCCATTGGTGTTCTTTGCACAGTAAATTGAGAAGGACGAGTATTATGGGTTTTTTTTTTTTAATCTTTCTATCTAAAACTGTGAGACTCCAAAACCATATGCCAAGGCATATAATCTATTACTGGTTTGCCTATAATGTAACAATCTTTAACGTTTGTTATAAATCAAAGACTACTTGCAGACATGGGGAAAAAAATCTGTTGGTAAGGACTGTTTATTGAAATCAGGAAGTATTTTGTCACCTTCCTTGGAAGAAACTTTCTATTTCTGTACAAGCTAGATATGATTTTGACATATAAAAATCTTTTCTGTTTTTTTCTAATTGACTTAGTAAGGACACTGATTATATTGTACCAGGGTTCTGAGCTCAGATAGAACTGTTCAGATAACTTCTGATTTTTCTAATTTCTAGGTTTATAGTCTGTGTTTCTAGGAGTGACAGTAATGAGGAAGTCTGAATTTGGCCTAGGCAATGTAATTTTCTGTTCCAGTTACTAATCACTAGATAACTAAAAACAAATTGCTTTCTTTACTTAGCCAGGACAGCAATTCATAGAACACTGATTTGTAAGAGCCTGGAAGGTCACTGTGAAGCTGAATGTCTTACTTTTGAAGTAAAGATTGGGGGCTGTAGAGCCGAATTAACACCATTTTGCTGCAAAAACAGAAAGAAGCATTAAAAACTAAGCACCAGCTGAAAGAACGAAAGATGTAAAGATTCTCTGGCTGTGAAATCAGTGGGACAAATCTCTCTGGACCTTCTCTCTTCGATCTGCAAAGTTTGGATTATCTGAAGCTGTGTTTCCAATGCTAGAGATTCACCCTTCCTAGGCTGTGAACTTCTTCCAGGCAGGCACTATATCTTGTTGACCTTTGTACTCTCAGTTCCTGACACGGGGCTTATTAACTTTTTTTTTTTTTTTTTTTCACTTTCTAAAAAAAGTAAGCCATTGAATAAATAGATAAAACAGATGGAGTGGAATGGTTGGACTGGCACTCAGGTGAATTGAGTTTTAAAGTTGTAGCTCTGTCTTTAAACAGATGTAGGACATTGGGTCCTCTGTGCCAAGATTCTGATACCTATGTAAGCAGCTTGAACTTCACAGTAAAGGGAATTCCTGCTAGATGCTAATTGTGGCTGCTTCAGCATTATCACTATCATGTACTCCTTTCTCTCTTTTATAGTTAGGAATTGTTTAGAGTGTTTTCCATTTACTTGTTAGATCTAAAACGTCAAGTTTTAGAAAGAAATGCACCTAAATCAAAATGCAAGTTGGCTGTAGATTGAGCAATGTCTGCATTCTGGCTGTTTGCAGTGAGAATTGATCAAAGCATGCTTTACTGAAGCTGCAAGTTCCCCAAAGGTCGTCGAATTCAGCACCCGTATTACAAAGGAGGAGACTGAGACTCAAGAAGATTATACAGTTACTGACTTAGTCACATTTATATTCAGACTTTGGGCTTTCTGGAATTGTCTTCTTAGCATGTTCACAAAATAGCATGCTGGAAGAGAACAGAACAGCAAAAGGCAATCCCAAAGACGGATCATTTCTCAGCGGATTCAGGTGAATAAATAAATGGAGGAAGAGACCGAAACAAACTGGGGAAAAAAAAAAAAAAGCTAGAAAGAAAAAAAAAATGGACACTTTCTAAAACCTGTTATGATCCCACGATCCCTGCCCTTTGAGAGCCATAACAATGGCAAACTGAGGCATGCCTTTTCCCTAATTTGCCAAAATTTGGAGTCTCAGCTTTCAAGCAGAGGAAAGTATGTATCACAGAGCATTTCATCCTAGAAGACTTACAGCACACCCTCCCAGAACAGAGGCAGCAAAACCCCTCCGCGCTGCTCTAGAAAATTTCCTTCTCTTATCAATTAAGCTGGCTTAGAGATGTAAATAAGAGAGAAAAAAATCTAGAACAAGACAATTTGTAAAATGTTTTAAAATAACAAATAAAACGTGTTTTCAAGAGATCTGGTATTGGTACTTGTCTTTATGGTGCTAACTTTCTCATTCTGAAAACTATGCTGGAGGAAAATATGTGAAGTTACCTGTTTGAATCGGAGGAACTTTCTCTGTTTCTGCATATTTCCTAGAAACTCCTTATCTATTGTCTCAGATAAAACTAACAGCCTTTGAGAATCTGTGTATTTAGACTTTCTCGTTTCTTCTTTTTTTCCCCTTTTCTTCTTTTTTCCCTGTCAGCGTCAAGTGACCTGAAATGCAATATACATGTCCTGTCGCCACTGTTTTCATAGCCCGTATCCTTCTCAACCTATAGAAAGTCTTTAAAAGCCAGCTATAAAGGCTCATGCAATTTCAGCACTTTAGGAGGACAAGAGCCCAGGAGTTCGAGACCAGCCTGGTCAACATAGGGAGACACCCCCCGCCATCTGTATAAAAAAATTTCTAAAATATTAGGTGTAGTGTCTCACACCTGTAGTCCCAGTTGCTTGGGGGGTTGAGCCCTGGAAGTTGAGGCTGCAGTAAGCTTGTGCCACTGCACTCCAGCCTGGATGACAGAAGCCTGTTTCAAAAGAAGAAGGAAAAGAAGGAGGAAGAAGAAGGAAGAAGGAAGAAGAAGAAAGAAGGAGGAGGAGGAGGAGGAGGAGGAGGAGGAAGAAGGAAGAAGAAAGGAGAAGAAAGGAGAAGAAAGGAGGGGAGGAGGGGGGAGGGGGGAGGGGGAGGGGGAGGAATGGGGAGGAGGAGGAGGTACTTCCTTAGTCACTTAACAGTAGCTGTTCTCTTAATAAATTACCATGGCCAACTCCAGTGACCTCTGACCAGTATTCATCTTTCAGGCCCTTTCTAAACATTTTATGAGGTGATCAGTCTCCTGCATCTTAATTTCTCTCTCATCTGCCCGTGAGGATGTATGTCTGCTGGGCATTTCTCCTTGTCTTCTGCACACGTTCTCAATCTTCTTTGCTGACTCTTCCTAATATTCTGTAAAATTCTCTTTGCTGGGATTGCATGGACCTGTGTTTCACTCTCTTCTTAGATGTGTCATCTCCAAACCGTCTCTTCCATTCTCATGGTTCCCAATCTTTATGGACTAATGACATGGTGTTACTTCTTTACCAGTTTTTATGACTTCTGCTTTGCTCTGTGGTGCCGTGCTGGGACTCCAAAAACTGCATTTGCCAGACTTCCTGGCCAGTTAGCTTCTTGTCAGCACCTTTAATGAAAGGCATTAGCAGGAGAGTGGAAAACAAGACAAGGAATGAAGGCACTTGTTCCCATGTTGTTTTCTCGTCAGCAACATTCCTATAGCAGCAGGTGGTTGGCTCCAGGCTTCAGGCTTTATATTCTTTCTACTTTCTCAGCAGCCTTACAAAGATGCCAGAAAGGGACCTTCAGCCTCCCAGCTCTACCTCCTTGGTTGTAAGAGGACCACCTGAACTACACTCTGCTTTTCTATGCACCCTGTCTATCCAAGCACCTGTTGGGCCCTGTCTCCTCCTCAGAAGTCTGAACACTGGCGATCGAGTGCCTCTGCCTCATTTGTCTGTGCCCCAGTCATTAAGCACTGCTCCCTTAACGTTTTAAGCATGACTTATGTGGTGTACCCCGCTAAGAGACCCAGGCAATTGGTACTGTGTCCCCTCCTCATAGGTTCAAACTCTAGCTGCGTACAAGTAACAGAATTTTGAGCACTAGCTCGAGAGTACCTTTCTCCCTTTGTTCCTGTATGTTTTAAGGTGATATCTCTTTTTTGTGGTTATTTCTGTGTCTTTTCAACCTCCCATTACTTATGCATCTAATTTAAGTTGATGAGCTGCTGGCCTTAACTAAGTGGATTTCTGGTAGGCACTTCAAAGGCAATGTCTTTATTCCAGATAAAGACTTCATTTAATATTCTAAATCTTAGAAAATACTGTTATGGTTGGCCAGGCATGGTGGCTTAAGCCTGTAATCCCAGCACTTTCGGAAGTCGAGGCAGGTGGATCACCTAAGGTCAGGAGTTCGAGACCAGCCTGACCAACATGATGAAATGCCATCTCTAGTAAATACACAAAAATACCTACTAAATACACAAGTAGCACACCGGTAATCCCAGCTACTCAGGAGGCTGGGGCAGGAGAATCGCTTGAACCCGGGAAGCAGAGGTTGCAGTGAGCCGAAATTGCACCATTGCAACCCAAGCAACCCAGCCTGGGCGACAAGGGCAAAACTCCATCTCAAAAAAAAAAAAAAAAAAAAAACCATATTGTTATCTTTTACTTGGCATTGAGTTTAAAAGTAGGGGTTTACTAAGGAATGCTTACTTTTCTGCGTAAGTCACACAATTCACTCATGACATTAATCTGCATAAATTGCTCATTAATCCCTGTAAATCTTAATGCAATTATCTCCCTTCCCTCTTTTTCCTTACTGTTGTTGTTCTGCATCAGTGCCTTATTATCTTCAGCCTCTACTCTTACTCTGTCAAACTTGAGTGTTAACAAATCCATCCCTACTACCAATTATCTAAAATTACAATTTGCGGATTGAACTTTGCATAAAGGAATAGTTCTACTTTTTCATGATGTATGAGCACAAACGTGAGCACGCACACCCATGTGAATTGTCAAATCATAAAAATAAGTCTAAGGTTTATATTCAGATGTCCACAAATCCTTAGAACACTCAAATATTAGAACTAGAAGCAGCCTTGGAAATCACTTAAGTCCCTGTTTCCAGAACTATATTGGTTGATTATAATCAATGTAACTAGCCTAAAATAATTAGAGCTCTATGTCCCACTTTAACACTTTCAAATTGGGATTTCTTAAGAATTTGTAAAATGACTAAATTTGTAAAATGATTTTTCCAATTAAGTCTCCTGCATGGTGACATTTGAGAACTGTTGATCACTGAACTCAGAAGCATCTGCGATCCACTGATCTCTGTCCCACGTCGCCTGTTAGTTGCAGAAATAGAGATCCAGGCTCAGATCCAGGCTTCCTGCCTTCATGTCCAGTGGCATATTACTGTGTTGAATCTTTCCATTTGCAAAGAAGGTGTGGAGAAGGCATGACCAAGTGGCTCACCTTGCTCAACCCCAGGAACAGAAGCTCAAGTTTTAGTGGGTAGACAGACACATGTCCAGCAAACGAACACTCCATGTGGTAAGTTTTTCAGCTCCTGTGAGTTTAGAATATGTGCAGTTTGATTAATTATGACGAGTCCTTGGGATCCAGGGAGGTTTCACAGACAAAATGCCCTGTGACCATTTAAACCAACCGGTTTATCATTTAGCGTAAATCACTTTAACTGAAACTAAAGAAGTGTTGTTGCTAAACTTCCTTTGTTGCCAATATATTCGTAGTTTATGTTCTCATTTGATAATTATTTCTATTCTCAACTGCTCACTCTCATTCTTCTGGGGAACTCAACTGAAAATGTTAAGGACTCTGTTCTCTTATGAAAGCCCTTCTGCTCAGATGGTGCACTTCTGTTCCCGGTTGTCTATATAGAAAGGTCTCTAGTATAGAAAGGTCCTTTTTATCCAAATAAAGACATTCCACTGTCCCAGGTGAGCTACTGACCAAAATGAGGCTACCTATCTCCTGTCTCTATGGAAACCTTCACCTGTGAGGACTATTAGCATTCTTATTTGCCACTTAATTTTTTCTCCCATTTTTTTCTTTTTTTTTTTTTTTTTTTTGAAATAAGTGTCACTAAGTGGAAAAAACAATCTGTGGAAGCCTTGACAAGTTTAATAAAATTGAGACCTTGAGGGAATCCACTGCGCAAAATCGCCAATCTCTATATATGGAGAAG